AAGCAGTCATATTTATTAATCTTTCTCTTTACAGTCAGTGCCTTTGTACCTTATTTAAGAAATCATTCCCTACTCCATGATCATGAAGACATCCCCTTACAATCTGTGCCTTATTGATAAAAATTTATGTTGTTTGTAGTGTTTTCCTATTACAAATGGTTGCTACAAGGGGCATTCTCGCACATGTATATTCTGGTATACTTGGCATGTTTTCTTAAAGAATATTTATGCCTTAGAAGAAAGGACTAACAATTTACTTTCTAAAGATCACAGCCATGGAAAACCCTATGGAACACAGTTCTACTCTGAAACACATGGGTCAACACGAGTCAGAATCGACCTGACAGCAGCTGGTTTATATTTTGCCATATAAAATAAATTGCCAGAAGAATCGCTACATCAGAGGATATTTTAAATTTTGATCTTTGCTTTAAAAATGGCTTCCCAAAGGCAGCTAATGTATCATTCGCTTGGGAGACTTATACTGTATTGCAATTATTGATCAAGATATTTATCACCTATAAAGAGATGCTATTATAACTCTCCATATAGTCTGGTGGCTGAAAAACAAAGCAGAATTGTTTTTTAATAAGGCTATTGTTGTTGTTGTTGCTGTTATGTACCATGGAGTCAGACCCGACTCACAGTGACCCCTCCTTGGGTGTCTGAGGCAGTATCACTATGGAAGTAGATTGCCCCATCTTCCTTCTGAGGAGTGGCCGGTGGGTTTGAACCGCCAGCTTTCTGGTTAGCAGTCAAGTGCCTTAGGCACTATGCTACCAGAGCTCTATAATTAGGTTGAATTTGCAGAGGAGGAAAAATAACAGAGATTATGAGAAATGTTGCCTGGATCTAGTTTGAGGTCTAGAACTTGAATGTTGAGGTCAGACTGCGCTGTAGGACACTATTTCATCAAAGAGAATTTGGAATGACTTCAAAAGAAGTATTCCAATAAGTTTTGGGATAAGGAAAGTATGGATCACCTAAAGATGACTGGAAAAAATGGCAAATTGGACTTGATGTTGATCTTTTTAACTTGTAAATTCTACAAAATATATTTTTTGATAGTATATATTGTTATATGAAAAGGGGGGCTCCAAAAATTGTGCCCAACTATAAAGATAATGAGATTTCCCCTTTTTTTGCTCATCTTTTTTTTTCTTATTTTTTCCACAATGAGGATAACTTGCTCTTATAATAATAATGTATTATTACTATGTACATAGATAGGCCACACTCAGCTTTTAGCTAAGTCAAGGTTCTGCACTGATCCTGTGTGCTTGGGACCATCGTCTCAGTGGACATCATGCTCAATTGGCACAACATGGTACATAAAAATCTTGTTCTACATCTTGCTTTGGTGAGTAGTGACTGGGGTCTAAGAAAGCTTTCAAGCAGCCATCTAAGATGCAACTATTGGTCTCCCCTCATCTGGAGCAAAGAAGAGGGAAGAAAAGAAAAGTAATCTGGAAACAATGAGTCCAAACATATGATGGACCATGAGGACCTCAGCCTTCATGACCCCAAGACCAGAAGAACTAGCTGGTGGCTGGCTACCAATACCAACCACTCGGAAAGGGATCAAAATTATAGATCTTGGTTAGAGTGGGAGGGAAAATATGGAACAAAATTCAAAAACACAAAGATGACCAGAATTACTGGTTGGATAGAGACTGGTGGAACCTCTGAGACTATGGCCCTGGGTTATCCTTCGGGCCTAGAAATGAACTCACTTCCATAGATTGGCTCTCAGCCCAACAGTAGGAAGACCTACATGTAGAACACCTACGCCAGGGTGATGCACCCACCTAGGGAGTGCACCCCTTGGATCAATCAGCCATGAGGCATCAGAGGAGCAGTATTCACATAGAGGGAAAGCTGGGCAGACAGGAGTGCATAGATAAGAAGGGCACAGGAAGGAGATAGTCACAGGGAGGAGGAGGAGGAGGAGAGGTTTTTTATGGTTGGGGATTCTAATCGGGTTGTGAAATCAAATGTGCATGAACTGTTGAATGTCAAACAAATCTGCTTTGTAAATTTGTCCCCAAAGCACAAAAATAAAAACAAAAAAGTAAAAATGAAGTTAAGATTCTGGGGGTCAAGATTGGACAATAACGATACCATGCACAAAAGTCTATCTTATTAATGTGTTATAATTGAATGTGTTACTTTTTTAAATATTAAGACTTTTATTTTGAGATAATTGTAGATTCACATGAAGTTGTGAGAAATAATACTGAGAGATGAGATCATAGTGCAATATCACAAGCAGGGGGCTGACATTGATGCCTTCCACCTATCTTACTCTGATCTCTCCAGTTTCACTTGTATTAATTTGTGAGGATGTGTACATATGTATTTAGTTCTGTGCTATATTACCACATGCATAGGCTCGTGTATCCACCACCATAGCCAAGATACAGAACAGTTCCATCATCGTTAGGCCGGAGTAAACTCAAACCACCAACATTTCAGTTGGCAGCTTCCTCCAGGTGTCAGGCCCTGATGAGACAACCTGATTAAGACAATCGAGGTGGCAGAACCCGCCCAGGCTAGAAAGTCCCATGTGATGATAAACTTCCTCCTGTGAAGCCCCCTCATGCTAATTAGGTGCAGACCCATGCCAACAGCTAATTGGACCCCGCCATTTCTTTAGTGTCCCCACTTAGGTCCTTTACAAGACTATAAACCCTACCCTCCCCAGCCAGGCGGCATGACTTGTTGGGCCCTTCTCAGGGACCCATGAACCTCGCCTGGGCCCCTCTCGGGGACCCGTAAACCTCACCCGGAAGCGCAGAATTAAAACTTCTCTTTAACCTCACTTTTGTGCGTCCTCTTCTCCTTACCGTGACCTTACAATCATCTCTTGTAAACCACATCTATCTCTGTGATTAAGGACAATTTCTGATCTGCTCTTCATTCCTAAAAGTTTGTCTTTTTCAAACATGGAACCATATAGCATGTACTCTCTTAGGATTTTTTTTTTTTTTTAAACTCAGCATCATTCCCTGCTGATTCACCCAAGTTGTTTGATGCATTAAGAGTTCATTCCTTTTTATTGCTCATTAGTATTCCATGATATGTATGTACCACAGCTTGTTTAACATTCATTCATTGAAGAACATCTGGGTTTGTATTAGTTTTCTCTACTGTAACAAATTACCACACATTTAGTGGCTTAAAATAACACAGATTTATCATCTTACAGTTCTGGAGAGCAGAAGTCTTCAACTCAAGATGTTGGCAGGGCTGTGTTCCAAGTGGAAGCTCAAGGGAAGAATCCATTTCCTTGTCATTTCCAGCTTCTAGAGGCTGCCTGCATTCCTTGGCTTGAGGCTCCTTCCTCCATCTTCAAAGTCAGTAGCACAGCATCTTCAAATCTCTCTCTGACCTCTGCTTCTGTTGTTCCATCATCTTTGGCTTGGAAAGGCTCCTTTGGCTTCTGTCTCCCTGTTATAAGGATACTGTGATCATATTGGGCCCATCCAGATAATTCAGGATAATTTTCCCATCTCAAAATCCTAATTTAATCATATCCCTTTTGCCATGTAAAGTTAACATATTCACAGGTGCTGGGGATTAAGACCTGGACATATTTGAGAGGTTATTTTACTACCACAGGGTGTTTCCAGATGTTCACTATTATGAATAAAGCTACTACAAACATTTATACAGATTTTTTTTTTTTTTTTTTTTTTGTGAGTGTCTGTATAAATCTTCATTTCTCTGGGATAAAAGCCCAGAAGTGCAATTGTTGGGTCATTTGGTAATTGCACGTTTAGTCTTATAAGATTCTGCCAATCTGTTTTCTAGAGTGTCTGGAATATTTTACATTCCCATCAGTAGTGTACGTATGAGTGATCAAATTTCTCCGAATCTGCCAGCATTTGGTGTTGTCACTGTTTTTTTATTTTTTTTAGCTATTTTGATAGGCAGGTAGTAATATCTCATTGTGGTTTTAATTTGCATTTTCCTAATAGTTAATGATGTTGAATATGTTTTCACGTGCATGTTGTTGTTGTTGTTATGTGCCGTCGAGTCAAACCTGACTCATAGCGACCCCTCCTTGGGTTTCCGAGGCAGTATCACTATGGAAGTAGGATTGCCCAACCTTCCTTCCGAGGAGTGGCTGGGGGGTTTGAACCGCCAGCCCTCTGGTTAGCAGGCAAGTGTCTTATCCACTATGCTACCAGAGCTCTCATTTCACGTGAATGTTGATTTTTAAAAAGCTAGTATTCAACGACACATAACAACAACTACAACATTATCATTCATAATGCAGTGGTTAGTAACATTAAGTGCAACATTCATGCTAAAGAATTTTATTTATTATTGCAAACAAGAGGAGGAGAGAGGCGCTAGGAATGTCTGGCCCTAATCTGTCTTTGAAGAAGTACAGCCAGAGTGCTTCTTAGACGTGAGGATGGCCAGACTTCTCTCGCTTACTTTGGACATGTAAATAGGAGGAACAAGTCCTTGAAGAAGGACATCATGCTTGGTAAAATAGATGGTCAGAGAAAATAGAGAGACCTTCAGTGAGATAGATCGACAGACACAGTGGCTGGAACAATGGGTTCAGACACAGCAACGGTTGTGAGGATGGCACAGGACAGGGCAGTGTTTCTTTCTGTTGCGCATAGAGTCACAACCAGTCACAACCTACGCCATAGTATCAAACACCACCAAATTTGAACCTGGAAAAGCTGCGCGGTGCAGCAGGGAGCTGTAGACCCATGTCTGTGTGAACAACCGATGGTCGGCTGGCTTCTGCTAGGAAGCTGCAGTGTGGCCAGGGACCTAGGCCAGAGGACTAGTGACTGACCAGGAGTGGCCAGGAGGGAAGCTCCACAAGAGTCCCGACTCCGGCCCCAGCCACTGACCACCCCGCGGGGACCCGCGCCGCCCCACCTCCAACTCTTGTTTCCCGCCAGAACCGAGCACAGGGGCGGGAGCAGCCGCGAGAGGGCGCCACGAGAAGGCCTGAGCCCCCGGCAGCGCCCATGGCGTCCTCCTGCGGCCCCCTCAGCGGCGGCGGCGGCGGCCCCCTGGCTGTCCTGCTTCTGCTCCTGCTCCTGCTCCTTCAGCCCGGGCTCGGCGAGGCCCCAGGGAGCGCAAAAGGGGCGCGGGGCGGGGTGGCGCCGCATTCTCGCGCCCCTCTCCCTTCGGGCGGCGGCCACGAGCATCCCGGAGATCCTGGAGCTAGCCCGCAGAATCCTCCACCTGTCGGGGTTCTGCCGTCCTTCGGGGTTCCTGGATCCAACGGGACTGCGAGAGACCCCTCTTTGTTGTCGGTTACCTCAGGTAACTTCTCCAAAGCTTTGTCAACCTCAAACATACGGTCACCAACCTGGCACACGACAGAATCATGGTTTACTGCAGGTGATGTTTCCGGGCCAGGCCCTGCCTGGAGAGCCAGCCTGGTCCCAGGGGGATGGGACTCTTTCTTGGAGGAGGAGCCTCTCAGGGGGACACCATCCTTTCCTAGACGGATGAGTGGACCCCACCCTGACTTACTCTGGGGGTGTGAAGGAACAGGGCCCTGCTCTGGGGATTCTGAGGATTCCCTGGCATTATCCTGGGCAGCCCTGGTGGTGGTGGGTGGAGAGGGCAGAGGCTATACTTTCAGTCCCCTCCCTTCACTGACCAGTTCCAGGATGTGGCCATCGGACCATGAGGATAGTTGGTGGGCTCCCGGCTGTAGAGAAGAAGTGGCCTTGGCAAGTGAGCCTGCAGATTAGTGATAAACACTTTTGTGGAGGCTCCCTCATCAACCATCTGTGGGTGCTGACAGCGGCCCACTGCATATATGGGTGAGTGTTTGGGGCTTAGGTGTGGGCTTTTGGTCAGTCTGTGTGACCTGGAGACAATTCTGTAGTCCTCACTGTTCTTCCTTATCTGAAGATAAGGTTCACAGTCCCTGCTCTGAGGGTATAGCCAGTGGTAGGTGATGTTAGAGCCCTTGGTAGCCTGGAAATTCAGGAACCAAAATGAGGAGCCACTGTTGATTAACCTTTAAGCTAAGTGGCAAGACAAGGAAGAAATGCCAACTGAGAGACAGTGAGTGGACAAAGATTTACGAGGAGGGATACTTAAGGGGAGGGTGTAGTATAGAACAATTTGGCTAAATCAGTGGTTCTCAAAATTTAATGAGCATCAGAAATAACTGCAGGGCTTGTTAAAATACAGATTACCTGTGCCCAGTTCTCAGAGTTTTTGACTCAGTAGGTCAGGGCAGGACTTGAAAATTTGCATTTCTAACAAGTTCCCTGGTGATGTTGGTACTGCTGGTCAGGGGACCACACTGAGAGCCACTAGGCTAGAATGGTCAGGGCTCTGGGGAAGAAGATGGTTTGAGGAAGGGAGGTGGCTGTATTTCTCTCATGGGAGGATGAGGTTGAGAAGCACCTGGCAAGTGTGGAAATAAAGTATAGACCCTTCAGGATCTCCCTGCAGCCATTTGGAATACACGGTGAAGCTGGGAGACATAAATGTGCATCATGGATCAAGAACAGCGGTTATAGTCCCAGTCCGAGACATCGTTATCCACAAAGATTATAACGGTGTTGGAAGGCTCCAAAACGATATTGCCCTCGTTCTGCTTGACTTCCCTGTGAATTACTCCTCGCACATTCAGCCTGTGTGCCTCCCTGAAAAGGCTTTCCTGGTGCAAGCTGATACGGAGTGCTGGGTGACCGGATGGGGCAAACGATCTCAAAGTGGTGAGACTGTAAAGCAGGATGACAGAAAACTACATCCAGGGAAGAGCAAGCTGCTTGGGGTTGGCCTGCAAGCTAAAGTGGGGGCAGAAAGGCAGCTTTTCTAGCAGATGGGTAAGGGGAGTGGGATGAACAGATGCTGCCAGGAAGTAATTTAACAACTGTGTTACAAATTTCTATTGTTATGTCAGGGCCTGGGGGCTGGGCCTAGGGGCTGGACATCAAATATAGTGGGATTCTCTCTTGAGCGGATTTCAGCTCAAGAGATGACAAACTGTCTGCCAGTCAGAGCTGCTCCTCACTGGAAGTGTCTGCCTCTTTGTGGGGGTGGGGGCCTGTCCCTGGGGGTAAAGGTAGAGGCAGGAGGCCCCTGTCTGTGAGGTCCTGCTACCCTGGAGAGAGACTGGCTTTGGCACTTTCAGGGCACTACCTGTCCTAGAATCTGTGATCCTGCTCTGGAAAGTAAAGATGCTTTACTAGACCCCCTGTCACTATTGCTACTGCTACTCAGAGTGACAGAAGCTTGGTTATGCCTCTCCCTCGTCTGACCTGTTCTACCTTCTCCTGTCTTGGTTTTACTTCTTACCTCCTCCTTTCCCCATGCCAACTTTGGGGACTATACCCATTGTCCTGCCTTCCTGTAAGGGGTGCCTGTGTGTCCATGCACTAAGACCCAGAATGGATGCTGGGGACTCCTGTCCTACTTAGATAGATCCACTCACTCCTAAGTTTTCTCTCTGCAGGTACCTCAGATGATGTTCCTATTATTCTTCAGGAAGCTGAGCTAAGCATTATTCGCTATGAGAAATGTAATAAGATGTTCCAGAAAATGACGGCAAGCTCTCAAGAATTTGTCAGGGAAGGTGTCGTCTGTGGCTATAATCCCCGAGGAAAGGATTCCTGCCAGGTTGGTTCCTGAGCCCCTTGCCATCCCCACATTTCAGGTGTCCCTCAAGTTTCCTCATCCCGAGGCAGTTGGGCCTGGGTTATTTGACGACCCCACCATTCACTGTTTCTTCAAGTTAAAGGGACTCCTGGGTACCAGCTGCCAAGGCTGGGCTGGCCTGACCTTACCTTCCAAAGAGAGCTGCTGATGCTGCCTGGAGAGGGGAGTAGGGAAATAGGGGCACATAATACTAATAATACAAATACCATTTTTTGAGCTCCTTCTATATGACAGGCAATGAACTCTATAAGTACTTCACTCATTTTTTTCTGTGTACATGTTCTTTTTTGTTTATATACAATTTTTGTACACAATTTTTTGAGTATATACACATTTACTTTTGGTTAAAAATTTCAGTCCTCAGGTCTCATATTTACAGAAACTGAGGCCCGATGGGGCCCGTGGGATACCTGGCGAAGCCCCGGTGTGCCTGCCCCAGCACCCTGCGGTGTGGTCAGCATGCTCTGATGCAGATCTTCTATTCCTGGAGTTGCTTTCTTTCTGTTTCTCCAGGGAGATTCTGGGGGACCCTTGGTCTGTGAATTTAACAACACCTGGATGCAGGTGGGGATCGTGAGCTGGGGCATTGGCTGTGGTCAAAAAGGATTTCCTGGAGTGTATACGGAAATTAGTTACTATAAAGACTGGCTCTTCAGTCAGTTGAATCAAGCTTCCTGTCTGGGTCCAGCAGCCTTCCTCATCCTACTCCTGTTTCTGGAGCTGCCCCTGGGTATCCTGATGACCCTATGACTGCACCTGTCCCTGCCCCTCCTGTTTCTGAGTCTCCCACTTCACCTCTCCTCTGGCCTCCCGTTCCTTCTCAACACCCTGTCCTCAAATTCTACTTGGGATCCATTGACCCTGTGAAGATCCATACGATCGAGGGTGGCAGTGAGGCTGGAGTCTGGAAAGTGCCCTGGCCTGGTGCATCAGTCCCCTGCCTAAGACTTGGCTGTGCACTACCATCATCAGTGCTCTGCCTGCCGGGAAGGAGACGGGTGACCTGCCAGGTAGAGCATGGTGGTTTCTTGACTTTCTGGAGAATATCAACCAGAGAAGGGAAGCTCGATTTGACATCATCAGTGGTGAAACCAGCATTAGACCCTGCTCTTGGTTTCAGAGCTCTCCCTGAGACTTTGTCAAACCAATCATTCAAAGAGAGTGAAGGAGGTGTTAACACGTCACTGCTGAGAGACAAGGCCCAGTGAGAATCCATCTGTGAGTGGACAGCCTCTGTCATACAAACGCTCTTGGGGCAACCCAATCTTGGAACCCCCTTCCTCAGTGTTTAGTGGCCACACCCAGAGACCTCAAATTGTGTTGAAGCATATGGAGTACAGAGATTTAAGATGTCACCTGAATAAATACTTGGAGAGTTGCCTGTGTGTTCTACATCTCTGTTCATCTGAGTATGGGGTTGCATATAACACACTCTGACAAGAACTCATTTCCCATTTAGCTAAGGAATATTTATGATCTCCACTAAACTCTAGAAGAATGAAGGATGAGGAGCCTGCCTGCCCAGATGTAAATCTGATGGATGGTTTTAGCCAGTGAGTCCTGTTGCCTGTGATCCTATTATAGCCATCAGCATCTCTACAGCTAGGAGCCTTGTAGCAGCCAATGTGGCCAGGAGCAGGGAAGCAAGTGCCAGAGGCTGGGGCACGGCACAGTCATACCCCTAGCACTTCTCTTCACTGTCTTCTCTAATATATGCCTTAAGGAGACACTGGGGACTAGGCGTTGAGCCCAAACAGCAGAGTTCTCATAGAAGGGAGGGAGGAAGAGGCTCCCTATGTGCATCCAAATTCTTCTTCCTAATTACCAGACTTAGGGTCCTAGAGTCACCTGGGCTGGCTGTTGTTCATCTCCCAGTTTCTGTCTGCTGCCCACCCTCCCTTTCTTTGCCAGTGCTTTAGCTCCTTGCTATCAGTGGGCCTCAGTGGCGTCTGTGACAGTGCCACCTGCTGCTCAAGGGAGGTAGCCCAAGCTGGTTACATCCAAACCCAGAAAGTTCTAGGTCTTCTTATAGAAACCCAGTTAGGCAGACTTGGGGCTCAAGGCTTGCCACACACTGTTACTTGCAGCTTTCTTTCCAAACAAGCACCTTCATTCTTTTCCAGTTTTTGCTAGGATTGCCATTATGGCTTTCGTTTTCTTCTTTCTTCCTCTCATTGGTTAAGCATTCTCTTCTCCCAAGAACCTCTCCTGTCCACTCCCCTGGACTGTGTAATGTGCTTCCTTCAGGGTTCCCCTGACTGGTGGTTCTGTGCCTATTCCTCTATCTCCTGCTTGACATTTTGTCTTCCAGGAGACTCTGATCATTCTCTATCTTCCATCCTGTAGCTCCAGGCTCGGAACAGGGTTGGAGTTCACGAAATATTGGTAAATGAATGAAAGAATGAATGGGGAAATGAATACTCACCTCTCCTCTGTTTTGCTACTCCTTTCTCTCACTGCCCTCTTGGATCACTGTTCTTTTCCCCTTGTTTTCATGTTGCCTCAATGAAGAAGAAAAAGCACAACCAGGTAGGTAAGGGTTATACTCTTGCTGTAGGAAAAGTCCCAAGCTCCGGGAAATTTATAGCCACAGAAGGGTACTCTTGGATCTAACAATATTAGAATGTGTTTCTTGTTCTGAGGGAACAGAAAATCAGTTCAAGTGGCTTGGACAGTGAGAAACAGCCTCTGTCTACCAGAAGAAATGGGCACATCTTCCCAGAGAACAGAACACCAAGGGCTATGTAAATGTTAGCTGTTTTTACTCTTTCCAACAAATATTTTTGGAGTACTGTATATGAATAAAGCAATGGACTAGAACCACAAATAAGATATGACCCTTAGGTAAGGGCTTGCATGGCTGGGTTGGAACCAGTCTCTGGAAGAGAAAAAAGGAGGATGTTGAGTGGCAGGTAATGGGTTCTACTAACACTAGTGGACATTAACAAAAAAAAAAGAAAAAAAACAAACAAAGAAAGATGACCCTGTGGGCTTCTAGTCATGAAGAACAAGTGACATAAAGCAATGAGCATTCCTAGTGGTCAGATTGTGGTCTTGAAATACCATTTCCCATCAAAAGAAACCAGGGCTTCTTGGATAAATAGTTTTGAAAATTTTAAGGTTTAGGGCAGAAAATATATAAAATGAGCCTGTAATTTCATGATATACCAGTCAGCAAGGATGCTATCAAAGTCTGCAAGATCATGCCAGTACGCCTAAAGAGCCAATTTTAAGAGGCTCCCATTGTGCCTCGGCTCTCTCTCAGAGTCTGTTTCCAGGGATCCCAGTTGAAGACACTCTGCCTGGCCAAAGATAGGACAACTGCAGTGTCAGTTACCTATTGCTGTATAAGAAACCACCCCAAAACTCAGTGGCCTAAGTCGACAGTTTGTTTTCTCTCACAATATTGTTGGTTGGCTGGGCAGTTGTTAGTCTCACCTGAGATCATTCTTGTGGGTGCATCCGTCTGGTAGCCCAACCATGGCAGAATGCCACAAGATGGCCACACTCACATGGTTGGCATTTAGCTGGGACTGTAGGCTGGGGCAAGAGTCCCTGGGTGGCATAAATGGATACGAGCTCAGCTACTAGCTGAAAGGTTGGTGGGTGGAACCCAGCCAGAGGTGCCTTGGAAGAATGGCTTGGTGACTTGCTTCCGAAAGATCGTAGCCATGAAAAGTCTATGGAGCTCTGCTCTGCAGCACATGGGGTCACCATGAGTCTGAGCTGACTCAGTGGCAACTGGTTTGGTAGACAGAGGTGCCTCAGTTTTCCTATAAGGACCTCTCATCCTCCAGTAGGGCTAGTCCAGATGGGCTCAGGACAGTGATTCAAGAGGGTGGAAGCAAAAGTTGCGAGGCCCCTTAATGCCTAGGTTTAGAAGTCGCATAACATTACTTCTATCACATTTTGTTGGTCAAAGTAAGTCACAAGCCTATCCCAGATTTGACGAGGCTGGAGAAACAAACTCCACTTATTGATGGGAGGAGATATAAGATACGATGGCCATGTTTTCTAATCCACTACAGTAGGCATAATAATTGCAATGCATTGAAACCAATGAAATACATTAAAATCTAAGATCTTTATAAGTTTTCCAGCTAATAAAGAGAAATGATATAATTAGAACCTCACTACTTTTCAAACCTCAATGAATTAGGGGATTTAGGCATAGAACCTAAACAGCTGGTAACATCACAAAAGAAGGGACAGCTAAACATCATGTGTCACTTAATGAAAAAATGCAAAACCTCCTATATTCTTGCTTGACAATGAGATTGAATCTGAGTCCAGCTGTCAATTTGCAAGCAATAGAAAAAACAGAGGAATGTATTGAACTACACCATAAATGCAGTCAACAAAACCAGACTGTGGGAGACTCTATAGGTCAAATAGCCCATATTCTTCAACATATAAGATGTAAGGGGATAGAGAGGAAAACTAACTAAGTGTCTGAAAAGATCTGTCAAATAGAAAGTAATTAGGCAACACTGAAGCACAGTGTCTAGAGATATACCTTTGGGTGATAAAACCTTAAATATACACAAGGAAGAGATAATATAAAAGTCAGGTTAATGGTTACATTTGAGGGGAAGGAGACAGTTGTATTATGGAGGGCCCATGGAGTCTCTAGAGTGACTGGCAGAGTTCTAATTATTGCACATTGGATCTGTATGACAGTATGCTCCCATGAAGATCCCCCTGCCATTGAATCGTTTCTGACTCATAATGACAGAGAAGAACTGCCGCATAGGTTTTCAAGGCTATAAATCTTTACAGATGTAGACTGCTACATCTTTCTCCCACAGAGTGCCTGGTGGGTTTGAACCTCCCACCTTTCAATTAACAGCCAAGTTGTTTTAACCACTGTGCTACCAGGGCACCTTTCCATAAAGATTACAGCCTCAGAAGCCCTATGAGGTCATTCTACTCTGTCCTATACTGTTGCCAGAATGGAGTCAGAATGGACTCGACCCCAACAAGTTTAGTTTTTTGGTTTATCACTTGAAGGCAAATCTAAGCTTGATATAGAACCTGGTACCTGGAAGTGAGCAGCTCTATATTAAAGAATCTGAAAATGTAGCCCTACTTCACGTGAGGGAATATGGGAATACATGAAGGACTCAGTGATTTAAGACTGGAAAACTGATGACTCTTGTCAGTATCAAAACTTTGGCCAAATCATTGTATCTTGTACCTTGGAAGGCTACCCATGGGTAGACCAAAGCTGTAGTATTAAGGAAAATAGTAGGAAAATTTAGAAGAATTGGTGACCGCTGGCTCCTTATTGCTGCACTTTGCAAACTCTGACGGAGAGAGTGGAACTCAGGCTACACTCAGCTGGTCTGAAAGCAAAGATGAACAGAAATACTGCTTTGCTAAGGTAGGCACTCTTATGCCAGTCACACCTGCAGTATAAATTGACTAAACCAAAAAAAAAAAGGCCAAATACACTGCCATCGGGGTTTGGCCTCCATTGGTTTTTCAGAGCTGTAAATCTTTACTGAAGTAGATTGCCTCATCTTCCTCCCATGGAGCAGCTGGTGGGTTTGAACCTCTGACCTCCTGGTTAGCAGTCAAATGTCTTACCCACTATACCACAAGAGCACCTTATAAATCGACTAAGAATCCTATAATTTGGTATGTTCCAGGATTGAATATTCTAACATTCAATACCTAAATGGAAGCAGTCACAAGCAGGGGCTGCTGAGTAGTAGTTAGTGGAACATGGAATTGGTTCCCCACTATAGGCTGATAATGTAGCTGCTGGAAAAGGTAGCATCAAGAGGGTTACTATCCCCTCAAGACCACTGTTTCAGACGCCTTTGCTCTTGGGCAGGGATCTGGCTGAACCTAGATCACAGGTGATGCTACAGGAAGCCCTTCAGCATATTAATTTTCCATTGCTGCTATAATAAAGTACCACAAACTCAGAGGCTTAAACAACACAAATCTATTATCTCACAAGTCTATAGGTCAGAAGTCTAAGTTGACTTGGCTGGTTCTCTCTTCCTGGTCTCACGAGGCTGCAATTAAGGTCTCAGCAAGGCTGTGTTCTTTCTGCAGCTCTGGGGACAAATCTGCTTCCAGGCTCATTCAGTTTGGCAGAAATCAGTTCTGTGTGGTTGGAGGATCAAGATCCCTGTTTCCTTGCTGGCTGTTGGCCAAAGAGCCATTCTCAGTGACTACAGGCTTCCTGCATCCCTTGGCTCTTGGTCACATTCCTCCATCTTCAAAGCCAGAAATGGCAGGTTGAGTCCTTCTCAGATTTTGAATCACTCTGATCTTTCCCTTCCACATCTCTTCAATTACTCTTCTGCCTTCCTCTTCCACTCTATTGCAGCTCACTCTAGCCAGAAAAATTGTTCAGCTTTTAATGACTCAAATGTTTATAGGAGGTCCAGAACATTAATGACCCTTGCAAAGTCCCTTCACTGTACTCCTCACATTAATGTTTGACTGAATAACCTGAGGACCGGAGCTATGGGGAACAGTGTTAGAATTTAGTAGCCCACATGCAGTTTTTTGCCAATACCAGGGTAGAGGCAGGAACCCTCACAAGGGGGCACTATGAGAGGGCTTGGAGGTACCCAGGGTGTTCCTGGGTGTTCAGGGGGGTCAGTGGCTCCTTGGTCTTCTGGTTTGGCTCCTGCACCTTCAGTCCTGGCTCAGTGAGGCTGGGCAGTGGGGAGGAGACGCAGTTGGGCCAGGGGCAGAGCCAGGTGGTGTCAGCAGGTAGGTGAGGTTTTCACAGGTCTCCCATCATCAACAGGTGTGTGTTGTGATCCCAAGGAGGATTCCAGATAGTCCCTGGCACGCTCGGAGGCCCAGTCACCTTCAGAGCATCTGGAATTCCTGAAATGTCCAGTATCCACAACAGCTCCAGAGTCTCTAGGGTCCCTAGCACCCTGAGGGCCTTGAGGAACCCTGGTGACTTCTGCAGCAGCAACAGGAGAGGTCTTGAAATTGAGTGGGACCACTGTGTTTAGGGGGACATCTGGTGGCATAGTGCCAAAGGCATTTGACTGCTAACCAGAAGGCTGGCAGTTCGAACCCACCAACCACTCCTCAGAAGGAAGGTTGGGCAATCTACTTCCGTAGAGATAGCGCCTCAGAAACCCAAGAAGAGGTTGTTATGAGTCAGGTCCGACTTGACAGTGGTGAGTTTGGTTTTAGTTTTGGTACTGTGTTTAGGAGGATGTCTCCTCCAGGCACTGCTTTTGGTGCCAGATCTGTGAGGCCTGCCTGGGAGGTCAAAGGGGAATATACCCAGCCTCGGGAGTTTGAAGGAAGGCCTTGCCCTAGAGGATTGGAGGGAGTTTTCAACCCTGTAGATCTGGAGTGGGGTCTGAGAAGGGCATTTCTAACAAGTTCCTGGGTGATGCTGATGCTGCTGGTCTGGGCCCTCACTGTGAGAACCACTACCCTGCAGTAACCAAAGCAGAGGAGGCAACCTCTTCTTGACTGTCTTGGCATGGAAGTGGCACACATCACCTCTACTTACCTCCTATCCATGTGGATTCCCTTTGATGTCAGGCTGGGGAATGTGGTCCCCAGACTCCAGCTGCTCCTCAGTGGATACCCACACTGGACAAGGGATGCAGGAATCTTGGTGGTTGGATTACATTCTCTACCACTCCTAGCAGATCCAAGGACAGCATCTTCTGCAAAATGCCCACGGGGCACATGTGAAAGCCCAGGCCTGGCACAAGCTACAAACCCTTTTAGTTACAAAGATCCCATTGGCAGAATGGGCCAAGCCCAGAAATGCCTTTCTTTCCTCATGTCTGCCCCAAAGCTCCTTGTTCAAGTCTTAGGTCCAGCTCAGATGTCACTTCCTGAAAGATATCTTCCCTGATTCCATAGAGTCATTATTCTTTTTCTTTTCTGTACTTTCTTGGTTCTCAAATCAATATTAATCCTGAAATTCTACAATGGACCAGGCTCAGGAGACTCAATGTCAGATCAAAGCCTGGGCAACAGGAAGCTATCACTGCTCAAGGGTCCATGGGCCCTTTCCTCAGCCAGGTGCTGGGAGCACTGTCACGTATTCAGGGCACTGGGGGCGCCATCGTGGGAGTAATCACAGACCCAGGGCACCGATGACGCCATTACAGGTCCAGGACTCCGAGAACCACGCATAAGGTAAGGTCCGAGAGGGGTCGCCGTTAAGTGCCTGGGAGTGTTTAGGATTCCAGGGGTTCCATCACATGCCGGGGGTGCTGTCACGTGTCTGGAACTACGTCACGTGCTGGGGCCTGCAGGACTGTCTCTGCAGTTGGTATCTTCAGGGCCTCATGGCTGCCCTGCCATCTTACGGCAGCACCGGGCTTGGCGCCTTGAGGCTGTCGGTTCTGAGCCGCCATCTCCTGCTCCTAATGCTGCTGCCGCCATCCAACCCCGGTGAGGCTGGCACCGCGCCATCTCCCCCCCGTCCCCCCGCTCCTCAGCCCTGTCCTTCTTTCCTATTACCCTGTCCCCGCCCTCTGAGCTCCCTCCCCGCAACCCCCTCCCCCCGCCTCAACCTTAGGGCCAGCCATTAAGCGGTCAGGGTCTCTGTGTCCCCATCCTCAATTCCCGGTAACCTCCAGGGCTTAGCAGGGAAGATTACAGGTATCTTAAACTTCTGCCCTTTCCTCTGACCTCTTCCCTCAGGCCATACCTGCCCCACAGTCTCTTGGAAAGCAGCAGTGCGCAGAACCCTTGCATTTTCTCCTAGGCAGTCCTTGCCCTGTCAGTCTGGACAAAGCACCTCAAGTGCGAGGCCCGCCTACCCTCCCAGCACCTTCAGATCTCTCACATCCTACCCCTCTACCCCCAGCTCTCTGCGATCTCCCCAGGCAGCTGGGCACTCCAGGAGACCTCTTGAGCATGCATTCTGGGCCAAGCAGATTTGTAGTCTTCACTCTCTGTCTGCCCTGAGCCCGCCCATCAAACAAATATTTCAAAAGTCACCTTCTCCCCCTCTTTTCCAGCCCAGTGTGCCTCACTGGCAGTCTCTTCATTCACTAGGAAAGCGGAGGCCCTGGAGTGCTGTCTCCCTTGACTATCCCCAACTCCAGGTGGGTGGTGGGGGTTACTCCAAACCTGACTACATCAACACTATTCTCACCTACTCCTTTAGGGATTCAAAAGACATGCCTCAAGGTCAGCACACTCACCAGTGCCCTTGACTGCCCGCTCTCCTTTCCTGTGCTCCCTCAATCATTCTTTCCCTCAGAGATCTTTATTCTCTCCTTTTCTATTTGCTGTTTCCTCACTGTCTCCTCCCCTTTCACAGCCAATCTTCTGAAAAGAATAGTTTTCACTTCCCGCTAGGCTTCCTCACTTCCCACTTATCCACAGCCCGTTCCTGCCATGTCTCCCCTCTTATTGTCCCCGGCCTTTCTTTCAGTCACTGCTTTTACATTTTGGCTTCTCTCAGACCACTGTCTTCGATTCTCTCCTAACCCAAGACTAATTTTCACTTTCCTCCATGACCCTCCCCGACCTCCCACACTGTATTTATCCTTGATGTATTGGTGTTCTCCAAGTCAGGGGTCCCTTGTTCCTTCCTTCTTCACTGCTCCCTGGGCCAGTCCCTTGGGCATTCATCTGCCATTTATATGATGGTGCCTCACAAATGACATGTGTGGATGTACAGCTACCCACTGGACATGTCCACCTGAATGACCTAGAAACATCTCAACCCCTACGGTCTAAAAATGAAGCCCTCATCTTGCTGTAAACTGGCTTCTCTTATTCTGTTCTCTAACTCAGTGGATGGCCTCCACTCTTTTCCAAAACTAGAAATTGGAGTGTCATCCTAGACTCATCCCTTTTCCTAAGTCCCATGTCCAACTCATCTTGTCTGTTCCTGCTGCCACTTCCTTGGTTCCGACCTCCTCATTTCCTGCCTGGGTTCTACAGAGTCTCTACTGGGCTTTCACTGCCCCCAGCTCTTGTCATCTTCCTATTTATTCTCCATACTGCCTTCATAATATAGACCTGACCAGGTCACATCTCTGTTGGCTTCCATCCCCCTGGAAGTCTGTCCAGACTTCTTGGCCTGGCTTACATGAGGCACTCCATGGTTGACCCTTGATTGTTCTCCCCTGGCATTATACCTTGTCATCACAGGCCATGACCTTCAACCTCTGGAATATCCAACACACACCATGGTGTTTCTTCTGCAAGGAATACCATTATCACGTTTCATTTCTGTTTTACTTTCTCATCTTTAAGTCCTGGCACAATAACCCCTCCTCCCAGAAGCCTTTTCTGTCCACTGTTTCTTCTAGGTTCACCTGATACCTATGGCTCTGTCCCTGAACTGATCTCATGCAGGTAATTGGGTGTTCACTTCTTTTTCCCTTGCTGGACAGTGTGTTTCTCCAGGGCAGGCTTTATCTGATACATCTGTCTCCCCAGCTCCAGGTTGGGAACAGAGTGGGAACTCAAAATATTTTGTGAATGAACAGATGAAAGAACAATGCGTCTCTTCCCTATCACCCCTTGCTTCATCTTTGTCTCCCTTCTCTCTTCCAGGTTATAAAGAGGACAAACCTATGCCAGGTGGGTTTGGTGAGTCCCTGCTGCAGAAAAAGCTCCAGTTCATGGGCCCAGATGTGGGGCACATTTGTTCTGAAAGGGACCACATAGATAGTGTTTCTGGGCCTGTAAGAAACAGACATTCGGTCTAAGAAGGCTGCTTTCTAAAGAACAGCCTGTAGCTTCCAGAACATACAGACCTAGCAGTCCCCGGAAAAGACGGTCTGGGCCTCAGAGCCTTTTAATTCAGCCTAGGCCACGTAGTGTAGTGTCTCAGGCACTTGACTGCTAACCAGAAGGCTGGTGGTTCCACTCCTCGAAAGGAAGGTTGGGCAATACCACCTCGGAAACCCAAGGAGGGGTTGCTATGAGTCAGGTCTGACTCTACGGCACATAACAACAACCGTTTAAAGCATGGCTTTTTATCCTTAAATACTTCAGTGTGTATTTTCTAAGAATATTCTCTTGTTTTTTCTCTTTTTTGTTTGCTTTTTAAAGGCTTTTAATTTCTTTTTCCTCTTTATGTCTTATAAGAATATTCTCTTACATAACCATAGTTATCAACTTCAGAAATTTACATTGATACCACACTTTTAGGAGCCCTGGTGGTACAAACAGTTAAGCTCTTGGCTGCTAATTGAAAGGTTGGAGGTTTGAACTTACCTGATTGCTCTGTAGGAGAAGATCTGGTGACATCCTTCTGTAAAGGTTACAGCCAAGAAACCCTATGGGGCAGTTCTGCTCTGTCAAATGGGGTCACTGTGAGTTGGAATTGACTTGATAACATTCAACAACAACCATGCTTTTTATCTGTTGTCCACATTACAACTTGGTCAGCCCTCCACACTCTTGTCAGCAGTGCATTAGGGTACATTTAGATTTACCACATTCCTAAAAACCATTGGCACGATGTAGCTTTTATGTCTTTTTTTTTTGCCAATCAATTAGGTTAAAAAAAAAAGACAGCTTGATTTCATTTGCATTTTTCTGATTACTGAAGAGTTTGTGCATCTCTCAATGTGCTGTTGGCCTCTTGAATTTCCTCTTCTGATAAATTGCCTATTTTTATCATTTGCATATTATCTATTGATCTTCCTTTTTATGGTTGATTTCCTAGAGTTCCTTGTATATTCCTTTATTTTTAGTTAGGTATAAAAGATGTTTAATTCTTTTTCTTAATGCATTTTATTGAAATATAATTTATGTACAGTGAAATACACAAAAGTAAAGTGACATGAGTCGACGCTTTTTTTTTTTTTTGCAGTGTTCCCTCCCCTCCCTTCCAACAAAGAAAGTTTCCCTCCATATATAAACCTTTCCTTGACCCTCCACAACAAACTAATATTGTATTTGTCCTTCTGTGATTGACTTGTTTCACTCAGCATAATGTCAACTAAGTTTATCCATATTATGTGGTGTTTTGCAGACTCTACATTATTCTTTAGTGCTGCATAGCATTCCAGTATGTGTATGTACCATAGTTTGGTCATCCACTCTTCCGCTGATGGGCACATAGGTTGTTTCCATCTTTTTGCTATTGTAAATAATGCTGTGGTGAACATGAGTGTGCATGTATCTGTTCCTATCTTGGCTCTCACCTCTCTAGGATATATAATACCTAGTAATGGGATTGATGGGTGTGATAGTTGGAGCTGTGTGTCAACTTGGCTGGACCCCAGTTCTGTGTGGTTGTTCCCATGGTGGGATCAGATGACTGTGTTCTGAGTGGTCAGTCTGCCTAAGGGGAGTTTCCCTAGGGGTGTGGCCTGCTTCCAAGATAACCAGGGACATCCTGGGAAGAGACACATTCT